ATTATTTCAATCACCTTTAACCCACATAAAAGTACACATTTATGCACGTACATAGTAACATACCCCAGGCGGCACATCAGCATTGTCGTTGAGACTAGACTTGCACAGGCCTAGCTTTCGTGAAGCTGACGACTGTTTTCTTGATGATAGAGTGACAGGCACATATTGAAATCAGTAGACCTTAGATTCAAACATAATACCTGTCTGTGAGAAGTCAATACTGGTAAAATTCGCTCAATAGCTACTCTTGTCGATCAGTAGGCCTTTACTCCCGTGTTCTTATTCCCGGCGAAGTTGATCTGTTCCGGTCTTTTCAACTAATCAAAATGTAGCAAATTTTGAAGCCCGCGACTTTCAGACCACAAATATTTTTATTGCCTAAACTGATTCGTCAAAAACATCGAAAACTTTAATTTTTAAACCCGTTTTAATGAAGAAACATTTCAAACCATAACAAATACGTTTGCAAAGGGTGTGTTTTTGGGTGTTTTTGGGTAGTTTTGGGTGTTTTGGGGTGTTTTTGGGTAGTTTTGGGTGTTTTTGGGTGTTTTTGGGTAAATCGTCGTGCCGATATATATATATACCACGCATACGATACAAAAAGAGCTCGCTGCGGTCGCTATTAAGTCGCTTTTATTAAATACGTATCATAAGTCAATGTGAAGTAAAAAAAATAATAGATTTGTTTTCGTCAACTTTAAAGCTCGAAACGATGTAGAAAGTTAGTTTGTGAGTAATGGTTCTGTCTATAAACTAGTCGTAAGCTAACACACAATTTATGAGGATTGGGGTCATTTGGTATTAAGGTTATCCTAAGACTATGCCATCCATAAAAGTACGGCTTGTCCCTCCACATGTCCTAATAGATGGCTTACATAATAACAAATCTATGTAAGGGTTCCGGAGCGCGTTGCCAGTAGGTATATTTAAATTTGTGCTTTATCGTCATGGAGTCTGTCCATATTGATCAAAAATAGCAAACGCTGACATGGAAGACTCTGTCTAATCTATTGATTTTTTCGACACGATTCCCGCTTTGGAAAGTCAGTACCTGTGAACTTTCCAATCCTACTGTCCCGAAGTGGCATTATAAATGTCTATCACTATGGCTATCTCACACGGTACACAGTTACTGTTATTAAGAGTTGCTGTGCCAACCTCTTTATATACATAATAATGTCGTGTTAAAGAAAAGCAAAAAAAGCACGAGCGAGTTCAAGAAGTGCATCGTACTTAACGAACGTTACTAAAATATGTCTAACATTACGGTCTTTAAAAAACGATCCTTTGATGTCACGTACACCTAATTTATTTAATTTACTTTCCTCTTTTATTGCTTTCCTTTAAAACTTGTTATTCACCTGAGACATCCTCCATACCGACGTGAAATGTAGTAATAAAATTGTGTGTGTGTGGGGGGGGGGGGGGGGGGGGTATTACAAAATGTACGACTCTTGGTACATGGGATGATAAAATGAATTTGGGTGAGACTCATAGGGATGAAAAGTGCTACGAACCTTAAAGACCATACAAGAGAATTGACCCGTCTAGTAAAATCCATGCGAGAGAATTGGTCCGTCTGTTAAAGACCATGCAAGACAATTGGTCCGTGTGCTAAAGACCGGGCGGGAGAATTGATCCGCCTGCTAAAGACCATGCGAGATAATTGATCCGCCTGCTAAAGACCATGCGGGATAATTGATCCGTCTGGTAAAGACCATGCGTGATAATTGATCCGTCTGAGAAGACATTTAGGAAGGGGAACCATCACAGAAGGAAGTTCTGTAATTGTCAAGAAGCCTAGAGCTACATCATAATGAACTAGGGCAAAATGAGATACCATTCAAGGTCAACAATAAGTGTTCCAAGCTGTTACGACGATTATCATTAGTGGCTCCTATATATTTTAGAGATCATAACGATAGATGGGGAAATTAGCCGACTTTTGTAAGAAGGTACCATAAAACGAGAACTCCATAAGAAATCGGATAATCCGAAAGATTTATCTAGGAGCATATCAAGAGGGTGATCGGTAGCTACTTGGCGAGTGCCCTAACAACCTCATGGTAGAAGGTAGAGCAAAGCATAGTTGTAGGTTGCACTTTATCAACAGTATCAAATCCAGCAGCAAGAGAAAGAGAGACACAAAAGCCAGGGTCGATTATCTGACAGTCATTTATAGATTAGCTCTCTTTCCCAACAAGAATCGTAAGCACGTTCGGTGCTGAGAGCCCTTCATGAGAGGGAGTAACATAGGCAAGGATGCCGTTCAAGCCGATGAAGTCGATGTGCCTTTTCATAAGGAAGAGGAAGGT